CTGCATTTTTCTTAGAAATGCCATCTTTTGTTCCTATTAAGCACTGCCAATGGATGCTGATTTTTCAGCATGTGGCTGGTAATTTAACCCAGCTCAAGGATCTCTGTTCCAGGGACAAAGGACAGGATGTAAGATTCCAGAAGGAAAGAGGTTGCTTTGTGTGGGAAGCATTGGGCTCATCTGCCAGTACCTGTTACACCAAGGATCTTGACATTTTCCAGATGTCCCTGCAGGAAAACAGCACCTGATTCCACTTAAAGCTTGCAGCATCTCTCCTTACTCCCACATCTCACACCAGAAAATATGGAACTTTCCGAGAAAAATAATGTCTTTGGGCTGGGAAAAATCTTAGGATTTTTTATCAAAAGCTGGAGCTGGCTCTGACTGTGCTAAAAAACGAGCATATGCAAACAGGAGGCCCCAAGATGCTATGTTTTCAGTTCCAAAGGAGTCTTTAACGTACTGGATTTGTCTTACCCCCGATCACATTGTTCCTCACTGACTCTGGACTCTCTGTTGTCTAAAAGGGGTCCCCTCTCCTGGGTCAGAAACCGGGGTATTTTTTGTTTGGTGCTCGGCAGACCCGGATAAATCGTAGGTACTGGAAAGTGGAATCTCTAGGGGGGGGGCAACGACTGCCTGCTGTGCGCAAACTTGCTTTTCAGCACAGAAAGACTCTTATGGATGCTTCTTATATCAGTTTAGCTCCATTAATATCTGCAAATTCATCAAAGAGTGACTATATGAACATGTTTCTCTCTGCTGGAATTATTTTTGGGGGAGTGGTAGGAGGATTTCTGATACACATTATAGTACAGTCTCTTCAGTATTCACTAAGTAATTAGTAAGTTTCACCTACCATTATTATTTTTTTAAAAGAAGTTCCACAAGATTCACTGGTTAGATCTAAATTCCATTTAGGTGTTTTATTTTATTTTCTTGGTTTAATCAACACAGTAGGGGAAGCAGCATACTAGTTCCAGTGGTGGGATTAAAATATGTGAACAACTGGTTCTCTGTATGGATGCCACTTCCGGAAATCCATTCTGGGCCTGGGCAACAAAAAATTAGCTACAGGTGCTGCTGAACTGGTGCGAACTGGCTGAATCCTACCACTGACTAGTTCCATGCCAATCATAATCTTCGAACTGGAAGAATAACTTTTAAAGCAAGGAATTGTTTCTGCAATTAATCCTTAAAATTCAAGTTTTAGAACTATCTTAAGGTGCTTAGAAAAACTTTCTTCTTGCTTTGCACCTCCAACTGAGTCATACTAATGGTGAGTGATACAGATGGTTGTGCTCATCCTTACTTTCATCCCTCATGGTTTGAATAAATAAAAAAGTAGAAAGTTAGCAAGGCAAGAATTATTGTCATTTTCCTATAATGTTTTAGCCTCAGGTCCTCATCTGCAACATAGAATAGTGACTTAACTATCTACAGTTCAAACTGGAGTTATGTATATTCTCTTCTATTGGTATGTGGTATTTCGGATGACAGCCTACAAAGAAAGAAAGCTCTACTGAGAAGAAATAGACTATGTCATTGTGTTATTCAGAGTCATAGATTTCTTTAGGAAGCACTCAAGTATAAAAGACTTTCACATACAGTTAGGTCTCTCACATTTTATAATAGTGTAATACCCAATCTAACATCAGAAGCATAATGAATAGGATACATTTACAGGAAGGGATATCCTTACTGCTATTTAATTTAAAATATATATCTTTGCAGGTAGATATTTTTCAATATGGTTTTATACCAAGCAAATTAATAATAACATTATTTAATTGTAATAAAAATAATAAAGCTTTTAAAAAGTGAAGAGGAGGAGGGCATATTCAAAGAATGATAAAGAGTCTTCATAGAAAACATTTCTCTGTGTACAAATGCATCTGGACTGAGTATGGAAGCTTGCATAATAAAACATATATTTTTGGCACAAAATGTGCCAATCAGCATGAGAGAATTCACAACCACTAACTAATAAATAATCATGAATCTGACTTCATTGTCACTTCCAATTGCTTACAACCCAGCGGACATCATTTTGCCAGGATCACTTGTCAATAGTTGT